TCGAGTCTATTGTTGATCAATGTAGACGAGTCTAGGCGAAGGATAGAAATAGAACACTTTTGTCATGTGAAACTCTATGCCTTTGGGCTGTGGTAAGATGGAGTCGCTTCCCGGTTGTGGATTTGACCCCTTGATTGGTAGTTGCTTTATTTGTTAGATCCCGTGAGGTTTATTTGTTCTAGCCTTCATCATTCTTGTTGAGTGGCATATTTGGATCCTTGATTACGCATTTTTCGATCTTTGTGTTGACTAGTAGCTCCCGAGACCGACTTGACACTTTTAAGGGAGGAAGAGGGCACCTTTTTCATTTTTCTTATTTTGTTCCTTTTGTTTTGTTACAAATTGATTTTCTTTTTACATCATCTTACTTGCTAACCATGTTGAGCTTTAATTCCATTCTTGGTTAACCGTGTTACAAACCCGATGGCCAATGTTTTACCAACCCTCAGTTGTTAAACGTTTACTTAGATAGGTTTGTTGAGCTTATTGTTTACTAATCAAGAAATAAAGTTTGATAGTTGGTTTGAGCAGGTGTGAAAGTGAGCCTAATTGTAAATATGTAATGCGAAAGTCATTTTTCCATCAATAAAAAAAGAGAAAAAAAAAGAGAAAAAAGAATTTAAAAGGAAAAAAAAGAAGAAGAGAAAAGTCGTCCGAATTGTGAAAAAGGCAAGGACACATAAATAAAGTTTTGAAGTTTGAAAGAGATCATTTCAGTGTGTATTATATGGATAATTTGGGATGAGTAAGAATGTGAATCAATGAGATTGTGGAAAGTGAATTACATCTTTTGAACTATTGTTTTTTGAGAATTGTGATTCTTGCGCTTCATTTAGGAATTAACCCCACTTTTTAAATTGTTTTCACCTACCTTACCCATTGCCAATACATTACAACCCTTTAAGACCTTTAGACTTTAGAGGTGTTCGGTTCTCAAACGGTGGAGGGAGATACCTTTCAACCCTATAGAAAGATTATGCGTAATCGAGATGTCGGGATACCTTTGTTATTTCCTCAAAACATCACTTTTTCTGGTTCCTTCGAGGAATCACGAGGGGCCAATTAGGGGGTGATTTGAAGCAAAAGGGGAGGACGTGGCCGGTTTGGTTGGGTTTAGAGGGAAGCATGATTTCTTTGTTCTCTATGCTTGGTTTAGGTCTTGTTCGCATTTGATCAACGATATCTTGGATTGTGTGTCTCGTTGCTTGTTTGAGTGAGTTTTCATTCCGTGCATGGTTGTTCTAAGTAGGATCCATTGATTTCATTCCGTGCTTAATTTGATTTGTACGCAATGGCATAGTTTATTTGATCTTGTGTGTGTTTCCCTTGGTTTTTGCTCGAGGACTAGCAAAAGTGTAGCTTGGGGGGTTTTGACAAGCGCACTTTTGGGCGCGCTTTAGAGCATATTTTAGGATGATTTTGGATGTATTTGGGGCCGTTTTGGCCGATTATTACCTTGTTATGCTTACGTCCCCATATTACGTGCTTCACGGGTTTTCGGTTTGTTTTTGATGTGTTTTCAGGTAATATCAACCGAGTTTAATCGGATCCGAGCCCTTGATGCGTAACCGAGCCCTTGATGCGTAACCGAGCTAGCCTTGACCGAAGACCGAGGAGTTAAGGAAGTTCAAGTGCCGTGCATTGATTACATAGCACAGGCAGCACGGCTGTGTTACCATAGGCACACCCGTGCTGGCCTATAAGCAAGCAACCCCAGGCAAGGCAGCACGGCCGTGCAAGCCAATAGCACGACCGTGTCAGTATCCACGCACCCGCACGGCCGTGCAGGCCATTAGCACGGCCGTGCCAGATGTTGCCCGTGCCCGTGTCAGCTTCAGTATGAGCCCCGTGCTAGAGCATATTCAGCACGGCCGTGTCATTTTTAGCATGGCCGTGCCAAATTGAAGAAGAAATCCGGTTTACCTACTGACAAGCTAGCACGGCCGTGCCAAATACAGCACGGTCGTGCTGATCCAGGGTTGACTGCGCGCTTGACTTCTCCGAATTAGAAGACGTATATAAGGCCCGACTTTAAGAGGATTGCAGAGACAGTTTTAGAGATAGTTTTTTGAGAGCCTTTGTAGAGAGTTATTGGAGAACGTTCTTAGTATTAGAGATTCATTAGTTTTCTTAGAGATTATTCTAGCGATTTTAGTTTTCTTGGATTGATTTGAAGCAAGATTTGTGAAGATTCTTTGTATTATTCATTGACGACGGATATCAAAGTTCTGAACTTTTCCATTGATTCGCATCAATACAATTGGTATTATTCATTCTTTTTTATTAATCAAGCTTTATTATTCCTTAATCAGAATTCATGTATATATCTATTATGCTTTTGGAATTCATTATTGCTTTGATTATGAATATGTGTGAGTAGTCTCCTAGCTAGGGTTTCGGGATGAAACCCGGCCTAGGTAACCTATGTAATTGAGGATTGATTTTGATAAACGGATTGTGATTAAATTGATTATATGCGATTGCATGTTAATTCATTATAATAGGAGTAGCTAACCTAGAATCTTGAATTTGATTGCATGATATCCTTGATTTGAACAAGAGATTGTGAATTGAGTATTTCATTGTTGAATGTGGTTTGATTATGTATCGAGTAATGTTAAGTGCATGAGAAATCCAAGCTTAATATTGCCCGTTGTCTTCCTACCTCATGATATTGATCAGACATATAGTCTTTGCATATCCCGTTTGTCTCTGTGATTCCTTGTTGCGTAGTTACCAATGGTTTGGTGAATTCCCGTCTTCCCTAGTGTCTTAGTTTATCTGGTTTATCCCATCTTATTAGTAGTATTTTAGAACACCATTTTCCATTGATTTCGAACTAGCTTAGGTTTAAGATTGATTTGCAATTACTTTCGTTCCTCGTGGACCGAACCTTTATTTTCCATTGTACTTGGTTATAGGGTGTTCGTATAAGTATTGTTTGATTGAGAGTTAGATTGTAGCGACCGATTTAACCCTCGTCAATACCACTTCTCCCCCCCTCCCCAACCTGTCCAAGATTTACATGGAAGAATTTGCCAACTCATTGGCTCTCACTGTTGGATCCTGATGTTACTACAACTTCTGAGTCTCTCGTAGGCTTGTCTGTGTCTTCTCTCGCTTTCGTTATGCACTTAATTTCAGTTGTTTTTCTAGCTTTTAGAACTTGTTTTTGTCGCTGGGTTTTCGGCTTCAAAGCTTTTGCTGGGTGGTGGGTTTGCTAATTTTTTTTACTGCATCCTACCTTCCCCTTTTGTTGGTTAGCTTTGGTTTTTCAGGGATGTCCATAATCATCCTTATGTAATATAATTTCGCCTAGCCTTTTGTTTTAAAGTATTTGGTAAAGTAAAAAAAAAAAAAACAAAGAGAACAATTGCTTTAGTAGGAGGTCTCTTTTCATTATACTCTACAAAACCAACGCGTCAGGTCTGACAACGTGTCAGTTTGTATGACAATACTTAAAAGACGGCCTGTAATATTAACTTAGCTTCTTAAAGGGGGGTAGGATGTAATATTAACTTAGCTTTGTCATAGTGTGAGCCTTATTTGAGAGCTAACTTTAAAGTTCGAGGATGAACTTTCATTTCAGGAGGAGTAGATGTAATACCCCAAATTTTGAGTATTTTAATTATTTAGTCAACAATTTTGCAAGTATAAACTTTCTAATTTACAATTATATTTTCAAATTTATATATTATAATTTCTATTTTCGAATTTTAAAAAAAAAAAAAACTGATTTTATCAGTTGGTTGTTTCGGATTGAAACAAGAAAACAACTCCATTTGAATTTTAATCTTATCCTACATATGAGCCTTATAGATACTTCCATCCTAATTGTCGTGAGAAAAACCATTGAACTCTCAAGAAGCCATTTTCCCTACTCTGTTTTGCGTTGTTCGCTAAAAACCCATCACCATAGTTGTCTTGGTATAAAGACGAAGGCTAGTAGGTGAACGTTTTGGAGGTTAATTACCCTGAGATTTTACGCACAATCAAAATTGGTAAGAGGGTACTCGGTTACGTGTGAGGAGACGTTAGAATAATCACGTAGCTAAGACAATTTAGTTCTGAATTTAATTATTTCCTTTTAATTAATGTTTTCAAATAATTTGCAGTTTTGATATAATGACTTTTTTTTTTTTATTTATTTTTTATTTTTTTATTGTGCCACCATTTAGGGCATCTACAATAGAACAAATCTTTAAGAGGTTTGTTCACTTAACACGTCTTCATTACACAAACCTCTTTTCTAACAAACCTTTCATCAACAATAGATAAACCTATTTGCAGGTTTATGTAGGGGACCCACTATCAATACAACTCATTAAATTCATCCAAACCAAAAGTAAAGAAAAAAAAAAGAGAAAAACTTAAAATTTTTGCCAACTAAGCAAGTACAAACCGGTTTGTCTACACAAACCTCAACCCACAACAAGAGGTTTGTTCACAAACCTCTAAATTGTTCCCACAAACCTCTCCATAAACCTCTTATTGCTATTGCCCTTAGTTTATTAAATATTATTTCATTTTGCTTTGCATTTATTTTCTACCGAAATTAAGTGTAGCAGTAACACTCCCAGGTTCGATGGTTGAGTTTTGAAAGTTAAAAAGGTTACTCTTATTGTTTTAAAAATACTCGAATTTTGGGGGTGTTACACCGCATGTTACATAAAACAGGTCTCTTTGCTCAATATTTTTTTTTGAGAATGGGGGTACAACTGTACCTCTACGTACGCCCCTGAATCCGCCTCTGCTATGATGATACCAATGTGTTGTAAGATGATATTTCGATACTACTAAAAATGGTAATCTATATATCTCGTTGGTACTAACTTTAAATGTACAGATAAGGTACTTTTTTTAATTTACGAAAATACCCTTACTTGGACTCTACCTGAGGCCAAGAATTTCTGGTGCATAGACCGATAACGATCGAACCCGTAGTAGAACGAGCTCTTTGATATGAAGTATAAACTTGCATTCCGTAGCCAGCCACATAACTCGAGTAACGTAGCATATCAATTCCTATTACGGCCGAATCTCCCCTTCGCCACCAGAACTGACTCTTCATTTCTTCTAGTCAAAAGTTTTAAAACCCACACTCTAAAATAAAAAATTAAGACCTCCTCATTCCCAAATTTCCTTTCGATCTCCTCCAAGAATTCTACAATGGCGGAAACCCTGCAAACAAATGGAGGAGGAATTTGGGACACTGTTCTCGAACTTACCAAATTAGCTCAAGATAAGAACACTAATCCAATGGTTTGGGCGATTCAACTCGGTTCCATCCTCAACTCGGCTGGGTTGACTCTACCTTCCGTTGAGCTCTCTCATCTGTTGGTTTCTCATATTTGCTGGAATAACAATTTTCCAATTACATGGAAGTTTCTGGAAAAAGCTTTGGCTCTTAAGTTTGTTCCTCCTATGCTTGTTCTTGCTTTGCTTTCTACTAGGTAATTTGATTTTTATGCATTTTTTTTTATAACATATAAAGTTATAGTTTAATGCTTAATTTCATGCTATATTGACTAATTTTAATGTGTTTTTGTTGTATAAATGTAATCAATGTTGAAAATTTGTGTATTGATCAAGGATTAACTGTTAGGGAAAACATAATTATGTTAAAAGGTCAATTAGACAGATTGGTATTGTATGTGGTATACGAATTAACGACTGCTATGTGTTGGCGTAAAGTGTTCACAAAAGTGGGGATTGAGCTTATAGCATCAAGATGGTAATAAGGAGAGGTATAAAATATGATGATGGCAAATTTTGGGTATAATTAATCAGACCATAACATTTAAGCCTATTTTTTGATCATGTATTGCAAAGTGGGGCGCATACTACGTATAAATGAGGATTGAGTTCGTGGTTTGAAGAGGGCGGGGGAAGTTGGTTGGATGGGTTGGGAGGAGAGGGAGGAGGGAGAGTGGTGTGTGTGTGTTTGCAATGAATTTGGGCCGACTTTTGTGAGTTGCTTGCTTTTATCGTGAGGGAGGAGAGAAGAGTTTTTTTTTTTTTCCTAGTTGGGGAAACAAATTTGAGTTGGTGAGGTGCAATTGGAAGTTCCTAGTGAAGAAGGACTCATACTTTGGTTGGGAAGATTGGGAACCAATTTAATGTGGAAAAGAAAGGGGTCATAAATTTATAGAAATTATAGAAAAGTAAACCTACATAAATATATGGAAATGTCTAACTTTCATTTGCTTGGTTTGTTGTCATGGAAACCTTTGATAAATAGAGTCTGATAAAGTTTTCACTTAATTGTTATTATGTAAAACTATTGAAAAATGAGTAGTTTTGTAGTTTTTTTTTTTTTTTTTAGTTTTCTTTTGTTTTCCCTATTTGTTTTATCAATTTTGAAGGAAAAAGAAGAGCTATGGAAAAAAAGGCATAAATTAACTGAAAGACCTTCACTAAAATCCTCATAATTACCTTTCCACAATTTTTTATTATAATCATTAAACAAACTATATTTAAAGAACTCTTAAATCGAGTTGTCTACTCTACTTTCAACTCATTATCTCATTATACCTTGGTTTCCATATATTGTAAGTCTGTTGTCTCATGCCTTGTCTTTATCCAAAAGTGTGATTGGCACAATTTTTTCCCCCCTCTAGCTCTAGAAAACTCATGTCCTCTAATGCTTTACATCTTTATGATGATGAAAGAATTTCTACTAGTTATGGTTGTAATACTCTTGTTTTTCTCTTTCCCCAGAAAAGCCAATAAATAAAAATAAAAAACCTTCTGTAGTTTAATGTTGCTTTTTGTATTTTCTGTCAGTGTATACTCCTACTAGCTGCACTTGGTGCTGTCAACTTCAATTGTATTTTGACATTTTGCAGGGTGATTTCAAGTCGACGTGTTCATCCTGCCGCCTATAGACTCTATATGGAACTACTTAAAAGATATGGCTCTTCATTTGCATCTCAACTGCATGAATCAAACCATGAGAAGTAAGCATAACTTTGAGCCGTTCTCCTTTAGAAAGTGGACTGCATGTTATGAAAATTAGGGTGCTTCTAGGTTTACTGAGTATTTATCTGAAATATGTTTGATTAATTTCTAATGAAGGCTTTGAAGGACAAAGATTAAAACAAAGAAAAGAATAAGATAGTGTTACTAAAATGCAATAATGTGGCAGAATGCATATGGTTTTATGAAGAAAAGTCCTATTTGGATTGCTCCAGTACAGCCTTTTCTTTTAGTTGATACGGAGTAGTTAACATTCTTGGAATATGTTATTAGTGGGCTTCGTATGTATTAGTCCATCTTTATCAGATATGTGATTGATGCTATGGCTATGTTTTTAACATTTAACTTAAATTTGGTTGCAGAATCTTGAAAGCCATAGATGATGCTCTACATCTTTCAGATCTCTATGGGATTCAAGCTTCTGGTCCTGCTGTTCTTTCAGTGCTTTTTGTATTTTCCAACGTGTGGCAATTAGTTGATGCATCTTTGGATGATGAAGGGTTGCTGGAATACAGTCCAGAGAAGATTTCTAGATGGCTGACTGGGATACAGGATATGGATATTGTTAATCATGGCCGCTTTCTGGAAAACAAAATAGAATTCCAAGAGGGAGTACTGAAGAGAAATACCTTGATGGCTGTTGAGATGATAGTAGAATCTTTGCAGAGTAAAGTAACGTCACAGATTCTTTTTTTGGTGCGTCAAAATATGTAAGCGCTATTTTATTATGGTGCTTGTGTATATAATTTCATCTTCGAAATTATTTCTTTGCTAATTGAAACAGGAGATTGCAAGGGTCTAAATTTTAGTTGAACATCTTTAGCATTACTTGCTTGCTGATGTAAATAGTTGTTGCACTCTTGCAATGATGCTGCAGTATTTTAAAATAAAACTGTTGTACTGCACTTGAACTTTAAATTAATTGCTTAAAAGGCCCATCTTATTTATGTAGTTTATACTTGAATTAAAGGAAAAAGTAGTTTTATATTTAAAATGCATTAGATTATTTTATTTTATTAAATTATTATAATTAATGTGACTTGGGACTGCTAACTTATGACTCACTCTGATCATTTTGACTTCATCGTGGAAGAATACATGAATCAAATATTCAAATTATATAAAAAAAGGTATTTTGATTGTAGAAGTGTCATCACATACGACAACTGTAGTTTTATATGGGATAGGTTTATTTGATCCAATTTGATTTGTAATTAACGAATTATTGATTTTAAATTCTAATATAGATGTTGTATGGCTTTTGATAAATGTTATTAAAAACTTCCATTTATTTTTTTAAATAATTTTTTTTATTTTTTATTTTTTAATATGATTATCAAGTAATGGCTAAATTATAGATCTGAGGTTGATATACAATGTATCGCTGTGGTTAATATTTACAACAAAGTTGCTAATAATAATTGAAAGTTGTAGGACTGTAAACAGAGGTTTAGGGTTATGGACTTATGGGTCAACATAATTATTTAAAAGAAGTGTCAAAAATGTAATCTCACTTGTGGGATTAAGGCTTTGATTGATTGATTGAATGTAATCTCACCCTATTCCCCTCTTTGTAACATGTAGTGTAGTTAATAGTTATTGGTATTTATTTACAATAAGAGCATCGCTTAATGGCTTAGGTTGATGGGGGTAATGTTTTCTAGCATGCTACTTGACTCCTTATGGCAATTTCCAGATCTCTTCTCTTTGCTTATGCTTCCGAGTCTTTCTTGGATTCTCCCTATCGGATTTAAATCAACGTTGGAGATTCTTCTTTTTAGTTTCTTTGGAGATTCTTCTTTTTAGTTTCTTGGTGTTGGATTACCGTTCTCCTTACTCTGTAATTAGTTTTCTTTTAGTGGAATTTTTTTCTTATCTAAAAGAAGCAACAAGTACACCATCCCCATCATCTATCCATTATTTGAACTGAATAATGGCACTTGGGAAATTTAATTATGTTAAACTCCTATTTTAGGAGAGTGAATTTCTCAACATCTCAAACTAGTGTATCTGACTATTATTTCTATAGGAGAGAGTAATTAATTATTTCATCATTTATTTATGTATAATTAATTATAGGGCAACCAACATTAAGTTCTGATCCCTTTCATGCATTGCCTAGGCCCTCACATTGGAGTGATTTCTACCAACATCTACAACTACTTGCTTCAAAATCATCGGCCTTAAGGAGTTCCAAGCTCACAACTCCAGAAATATTTGCGCAGATGGCATCTGATACAAGCAAGCATCTTCATTGGCAAAGCAAGACAAGCCTCCAGCACCAGTTTCATGCAGTAATGGCCCCTGGATGCTTTTTACCGTCCTCTATTCAATGCCATGGTGCTAGTAACTCTTCTCTGTGGCTCCCAATTGACCTGTTTTTAGAAGATGCTATGGAAGGAATTGTAGTGACTCCAACATGTGCCATTGATACACTTACTAGTATGCTTTTCACTTGGTGTTTCATGTTGTGATTTGTTTCATATCATATGAATTGAGAATTTACTTGCTTCACATGCAGGTATGGTCAAATCACTTCAGGCACTTTACAGCACCACATGGCATGACACCTTCCTAGGCTTATGGATTGCAATCCTACGCCTTGTTCAAAGGGTATTTTTATTCAGTCTAAGTAGCATAATAATCCTTCTGTCCCATTGTGGCTGTCAAGTTTTCCTTCTTTAGATATACCAAAATAGCTGTCAAGCTTCCAATTACAATAAACATGACATTTTATATGCTTATGGCCAAAAGTAATATATAAATGGTGGGAAACACTGTGCTTCTTTAATTATTCTCATTTACATCTGACAACTAATATGGGAGGGAATAGTAATATCTATCATTTGGAGAAACAATATCTTCTTCTGCCTTAAAAGGGTTAAAAAATTACAAGTCAGTGTAGAAAAACCTTATCACATTTGTTGGCTGTAGGCTAATACTGTATGAGTCTTATTCTACATTATAAGGGGCCGTTTGGTTTGCAGGGGTAAATGGAATGGAGTGAACAAAGGGAAAGAAAGAGCATGGAAGGAAAGCACTTTACATTTAGTATGTTGTTTGTTGTAAAAAACAAAGGGAATCACGACCACCACCACACAACCCCCTCTTTCTTCATTTTCCCACTTTTCCAGCCACCACCTAGCCTCACTCGCCGCATCTCCCACACCCCTTGCAAGGGGTGTGGGAGGTGCAGCGAGGGGCTGCAAGTGAGGCTGGATGGTAGGGGTAGGGTAGAAAGGGTGGTGGCTGGTGTGTTTATGGTGGTGTAGTGGTGGCTAAGGAAAGGGAATGGAAAGGGCTTGTTCATTCCCTTTCCCTTTGATTATTAACCTCAGATTTTTTTAATTTTTTTTTTTACAACTAGCTCTTTTGTCAAGAAAGAGAGCATGCTTATACTTTGTAATCTAAAGGTTGATAACTCAATCAATGGCATCAGCCTGTCTGCTACCACTCCTTAATATAATTGCTTCATAGGAAAGGAAGTTTTGTGTTAGGCTCTGTTTTCCTTACCTTGTTTTCACTTTTTTTTTTTAAATTTTTTTTTTTATTTATTTGTTTTTATTTCTTTGTTTTTAATGAATTTTTTAAGGTTAAATAAGTTCAAATAAGTTTAGATAAGATAAGGCTAATAAATTCAAATAAGATAATATAAGAGCTTACAAGTTCAGATTAGCTTATATTATATAAGGCCAAGACTAATAAAGTATGATAAGATTAGATAAGTGAAATTCAGGTTAAAAGAACACTACCATACTTTGTTGCTAGATAACTTCAGGCCTTTAACTTTGAGGTCCATGTATAATTGTTGATGATAAGGGAATTTTGCATGCCTTTTTCTACATTTGAGAGATTCATGTATTCTTGGATACAAGGGATATGGAATATATGGAAGTATAATGTATATATCTCATGTTTTTTATTGATGTTATTTCCTTCGTTACTGTTTCAGGAGAAAAATCCCTGTGATGGCCCTGTAGCTCGTCTTGACTCTTGCTTGTGCATGTTATTATCCATTACACCTCTTGTGCTTCTTAACCTTATTGACGAAGATATTAAGGGGTCTGAGTTTAGTCAAAGGGAGGATAAACAGGCTTCTAGTAGTCGTCGCCATGAGTTGGTTTCCTGTTTGCAGCAGTTAGGTGAGTATGAAGGCTTGTTGACTCCTCCACCATCTGTTGCTTCAATTGCAAATCAGGCTGCTATCACAGCTATAATGTATCTTTCGGGACTCAATATTAACAGTGGATACCTTGATTCTGTCAGCGTCAGTGATGTACCAATTAACTGTGGTGAGTGGTTTCTTCTCTGCTTTCACAAATATGCTTCTATATTGTACTTTCATTGTAGCTAAGTGATTGACAGTCTGTTTGACAGGTCAAGTCATTTGTTACCCTTAGAACATGTAACTAGCAAGCTTTTGCAATTTAGCAGTGTGTTTTTTTTAATTTATTTTATTTATTTATTCACCTCATGGCGCATAATCAATGTAAATAAATTAATCAATCAAATCCGGCCAGAATCTAATCAACTAAGTAATGTTAACAAACTATAGAAAGATAATGTGATTTTGTAAGCAATCAATCCATTCAATTAAGTTCCCTTTATGCATTCATAGATGTCCATTGTCCAACCCTAGAAAATACTACTCAGTCATATTAAATTTAGAGACAGCAACTTTAACATTCAAAGACATGAAATGGGATAAGCAATAAAAAGTTAGGCGATAAGTAATATAGATAATAGGAAAAAAGACGACAATACTAATTGAGGAGGAAACAAAGTCTTGAATTTAAATATAACTTTGATCCAATTGCAAAGTTGAGAGAATAATGTTGAAAACCTAAAACTAGGGTTCTAATGAAAGGGAGTTATAATAATAACAGCAGAAGTCTCGTATGTCTCTTTATAGATTTATATAGGCTACTTGAAAAGATAACAATAATAGAAAAACACTAAAACAGTGTCAACAGAACACCTGGTGGGCTGAACAAAACTGCCCATTTTAGCCAGTGCCAAGAGGGAGAAAATGAACTTGCTAATATGTGAGCTGCAAACCTGCAACCTCGCCCGGTGAATTGAGATATTACTGTCCGATCAGGTCTGCAAACCAAGCTGCTGAAAATTTCCTTCAAGCATTTTTAGCACGCCTGGTCAGGCCACCTTCTCTGGTGGACTGGGTGCATTAGGCCTGATTTTGCACTCACTTGATCCAAGCCGAACTTGCCTCTTCAAAAGGCCCATCTTGCATCTCAAAGCTCCAAAAAGCCAGGTCACAAACACTTCAATTATAAAAGCCTCCGTGTCTGTTCCAAATAGGTTGAAAAGCGGATGAAAAGTACCAACTCCTACAAAATAAAGTGAAGCTAAAACCACAACCAGAGGGCAGATGCTAGATACAATTTCTCCGAAGAATGCATATAAACTCATAAAATGCTTAAGAGACGGGGTAGAGACACTATGGCCATGTTTGGTAATTGGTTTTTTAATGGCTTTTTGGTTAGCTTTTGGCTTTTTTAGGTGGTCAAACAGCCAAAAAATGTGTTTGGTAATTGGCTTTTTAGTCAGCGAAAAAGCTGGCTTTTAAGTTAAAATGAAAAAGCTGCTTTGAGCAGCTTTTTTCTCAGCTTTTTCATTGTCTTTTGGCTTGTTGGCCCACAAATTATCTAATAAACAACCAACAACCAACAATTAATTTACCAAACACTTTTATAAACAGCCAGCTTAAACAACCAATTTCAAAAGCCATTATAAACAGCCAAGCATTCCAGCTAGTCAAACTAGCCTAGTGAACCAGCCAACTGCCAACAACCATTTGCCAAACAAGACCTATGTAAAATGAGCATATTAATGTTATGCCTAAGATTTTAGCTGAGTATTTAATCCGTTAATCGTATTTCTAAGAATTAAAATATCTCCATTGTGATTTTTCCAGTGGAATCTTTATGTGTTAGGGGCATTAAAAACAACCTTGGCTGTTTTGTTCTAGAAATGGGCATCATATAATGGGTTTTTGAGTGACCGTCCTGTGAAGCCCTGGTATATAATGCTGAGATAGAAATCACCCCCAATTCACCGCAATGGTCGTTCTGTAATGGTAGAACCCTACTCTGCAATTGTTAGTCTAACAACCGTGAATTTTTTGAACACTTTTTGAGGAAGAACCAAAGGTCAAAAGAAACATATTAGATTTTAATGTTTATTAATTCTTGGTGAGGTTAATGTTAACTTTGGATGGATGGACAAAGAAAGATAGATTTATGATTGTAATTTTTTGTGTAGATCATGTCGAGGGATCTATTTGCCAAGGTCTTTAAATTGGAGATCTTGAATTTGGGGTTTCTTTTTGTGCTATTTGTCTGCTGGTCTTTGATGTACCCGTATCCTATGTTACTCGGACACGGCAAAATTGCCGTCATACCCGGGTCGGTACGACCCAAAATGGATCAGGGTATGAAATCCGTTCCGGATACGTCATCTTGCTCTCGGATATGGACGTTAATTAAATCTCAGAAATTCAGACTATTAACTTTAAGCTTTGGCGAGTTCATGGCTGCAAGCTCTTTGGAGCTATAAAAATGGTGAGAAGATGAATCAACTATATTACAGAGGAGAGAGGAGAGAGAAATAAAAAATAAATGGCTGGAGAGAGAAATATAGACCGACAAGTATTACTTTTCTTTTGAAAGAAAGACCGACAAGTACTGCTACAGGCTACCCCACACTCCATTTTCTCTTTTTTTTTTTTTTTTTTTTTTTTTTTTTTTTTTTTTTTTTTTTTAAGAAATTATAATCTATACTTTTTAAAGCTTGCACAGTAAATAAGAGTACTTATATTTTTCTAATAAATTTGTGCTGTGCATTTTTAGATTAGGTAAATAGTACTACACTATATAGTCTAATACGGAGTACATAAAAACTTGTTAAAATTTTTATAGGAACTTGCCACAATTATTCTTTTTTTTTTTTTCCTTTTATTGCCGTATCCGTACCCGAGTCCAAAGTTAAGACGGTCTAGTTCTAAATTTTTGAAAATGATGTATCGGACACTCGGATCCGTACCAATATCGGATACCCGTACCCGTGTCAATGTAACATAGCCCGTATCTAAGAAGAAAATAGTGATGGAAGATGGTGATGTAGAAGCGAGAAAAAAGTAGAGATAGAAGCAATGCCTCCTTTTGAAATATTTTTGTTTAGAGTAGAAGAAAATAGTTTTAGAAACTTGGTAGTTGGCTTCCATGGGAGGAAAAATAATACACGTGGACTTTGACTACTTTGCGAAGTTGATTTTAAAAAAAATAGTTGTTTATACATTTGAAAAACAGCTTGAATGAGATGTGGGTTGGGCTTCATTTTTTTCTCTGATGTTAAAATTTTTATTTTACTTTTCTGTTGCTTTTCTTTATGCATTCTATTTCATGTTGCCTTAATGAACTCATATAGACAATTTATTATTATGTTACTTGATTTATGATAAAAGGTTATTGTAATAGTTAAATTTAAATAGTGTAAACAAAAAAAGTAATGGAGTATTTATAATTACTTTGGCACTATCGTGGTATAAGTACAAAATATGACTTTGGAAGTTCAAAAAGTTTACTTTTGTTGATTTTTTAAAAAAGTTATTACAGGGAAGTCAACGATCTTCTCTATCTGATTGTTGCAAGCCATCTATGCGACAACACAACCGTTACTGTGACCACAATTTTTCATGGAGCGCTTTGTGGTATTCTTAATGCTTTTCTTTCCAGTGTACAATGTGTTTGGCACTCTGCTTGTAACTTTACCTTTTTTAAGGACTCCCTAACACTAATTCTTGATTCTATTGCGATTCATTAGTTATAATTCTTATAAGTTCAAGTATTCTAAAGTTCTAAATAAGGGATTGACTTTGCTTGTGTGTTCTGGACCAAAAGGCTAAATGGATATGGACACTAAAATACTAATCATGTTTATGTTGGATTTATTGTATGTATATGATCACAAATTATCTTGTTCCTATGCAAAAGGATATACATTATTCCGTCCATGTTATTGGGCCATTATATTCACTTATGTGCACCTGTTTGGCATTCTCGGTTCTAACAACCTAACCTGGACTTTTTCTGCATACAGGTTAGCCTTAGCTGCATTAGTTGCTACTTCTTTAGATCTTAACACCCTTTAATCTAGTTTGCTAGTTTTATTTATGAAGTACAAGCGTTTGTGTATATACATAATTTGATGACCTATCTTGTAACTTGCCAGCTGGGAATTTGCGCCATCTAATTGTCGAGGCTTGTATTGCTAGAAATTTATTGGACATATCAGCATACACATGGCCTGGCTATGTGAATGCACGGGTCAACCAAATTCCCCGTGTATCTGGACAAGTTACTGGTTGGTCATCATTAATGAAAGGTTCCCCACTTACTTCTGCATTGGTGAATGCTCTGGTTTCCTGCCCTGCTTCAAGGTATAATGCTTCACTTGATACCACATTGCTATATTTAATGTATACCTTAGTATTTCTTTGTGCTTTAAATGGAATGTGGGGCTGGAGTTGAAGGGGCTATTATGTTGGGGTGGTGGTTTTGTTGTTGTTATTTATCCCCCCCCCCCCCCCCCCCCCCCCCCCCCTTCCTTTTTTTTTTTTATATTTTGTAAACTAATTCTATAAATTAACACTTGTTTTTCAAAATAATTTTTTTTCTCTTCACTTTAAGGTTATACAAAACATGAATCAATACTTCAGCAGTGATTTGTAAATTGTAATGTAGACATTTTTGGTGTTGATACTCAAGGTCTATAGTTGGGAATAGGGTTCCTATACGTCAGTGATATCTTTGCTGATATTCACCTACAAATTGTAGACCAGATTCGATATCATTGGTGCCACCCCCAAGAATTTAATTAATGAAGCTAGTTGCATGGCCATATTTTTGTTTCTGGTTGGGAGACTAAATTTTTTTAAAAGCAACTAAATTCCTTTGGCTTACTTCTGCCTTGAAGTTCCCCATTCTTTTATTGGGTTCTGGCTGTTAATTGTTTAATGATTTCATTTAGTCAATGCTGTAGCTTAATTCTTCTTGAGGATAAGTTCTGTACTCGCACACCTGCTTTTCTGTTGGGATTCTATCCTCCGTATGCGGGCGAAAGGGAATTTTGACGTTAACTTGCAACTAAATATAATGGAAAGGATATTTTTATCAGATCCTTGTTTTGGAAAGAAAAGCTTTGTAATGTTTTCATACCAAAAAGGAGACCTAGGTGGTTTAACGAGCCACTTTACTTTTGTACCTCATAATTTGGAAAAAAAAGAATGTCGTTCAACCTTCCTTTACCCTTGTTTTGGAAAGTAATTCTTTAATAATCAGGTTCCTGAAAGTGCAGAAAAAGGCAAGAAAATTAAATGAAAGAGAGAATCCTCCATAATCTTATTCTGCTTTTATGTATAATATTTCTGGTGCCTTGATACATAGTAGCCCCCCCTCCCCCCCTCTCAGCGTTTTAGAACTCACTTCCCTTTTGTCTGATCGGAAGCTTAGCAGAGATAGAGAAAATATATGAGATTGCAGTTGGCGGATCAGATGATGAGAAGATATCTGCTGCCACAATTCTCTGTGGGGCATCGCTTATTCGTGGTTGGAATGTGCAGGTATAGCTGCTATTCGTTGGTGTTTTTGTGCCCTTTTCACTATTTTTATACATCCTGATTGTTTTATGGTTGCTACATATGATCTTTTTCTACAGGAACACACTGTCCTATTTCTTTTAAGGTTGCTGTCACCTCCCATTCCAGCAGAGTATTCTGGAAGTGAGAGTCATTTGATTAGTTATGGGCCATTCTTGAATGTTCTCCTTATTGGCATAGCAACAGTTGACATTGTGCAGATCTTTTCACTCCATGGATTGGTAGGTTGAACTGGTTGCTTCTTTATTTTGATTTCATAAAAAATGCTTTTGTTAAATTTGATAGTCTATTGGTTGATGTAGCCCATAAAATTAATCAATTCTCAGTAATTTATGTTACAAAAGTTTGATAGTACTATAGTCATTCATGTTGGAGATGATATTATGTTCTACTATCCAACTCTTGCTGTTCACCTTCCCCACCCTTTGTGTTTTGTTGCTCCTTTTTAGTATCATTTTTTAGGAGTTGAGTTCTCATTGAGCTGGCAAGAATTCATATTTTCTCTTTCACTTGTAAAGGCTTGGGACGTCAAATTGTCATTTCACTTGGAGCTATAGGAATCAGAAAGATAGATTTGCTTTTAAAAAATACGAGTAAAAGATCAAGTTTGGAGATTTTCATGCAGTCATTAGGAAAAAATAGAGGTGGAAAGCAGTTGTGAAATTAAGCACAGAAAAATAAATTTTTGTCTGTGTTTTGTCTTGAATATGCTTCATGTTTTTGATGCTAGGAAGTAGGATGGCTTGACTGCAAGTTGAATTTTCAAGAGGCAGTAGTAAAATTAACAAGTTATTTAGAAGTATGACATGTAACTTTTTTTTTCAGAAGCTAATATATGACTCCAGCTGTACAAAATTCTCAAAAAAGGAACTTAAAACCTTGATGAGGGGAAGTTATGATCTTAAAATGCATCGGTTTGTTTTGTTTCGAAAATTCCCGTGGAACCATCTTCCACACTTCTGCATGTGTTTTCTTCTGTCTTTTTAATGTATGCTCTTCTGATAATTAATGTGACAGACTGACAGCAAGTTAAAATTTGTGATTAACAGGGATCTGCTGATCCTTGTTGAGGTTGTTTCAAATTTGCGATCTTTGTATAGAGAGTGGACTATCTACCTTTTTCCTACTTGGGCCTTGTTGAGGTTGTTTCAAATTTGCAATCTTTGTATAGAGAGTGGACTATGTACCTATTTCCTACTTGGGCCTACTGGTTGCACAATTACAATTTGACTAATAAACAGCTGAAAAGGAGTCTTGCAATGTAAAGGTCTTAGTGCTTGTCTAATGAATGATGGATACATGGTTCGAGGGCATCCTATGTTACTGATTTACTTTATGTTCCTGGTTACTGCTCCACCAGGTAATATGGCTTGTAAACTGGAGGGGGGGAAAAATGTAAATATTTCAATGTGGAGTTAATCTGAAGCAGGAAGATTTGTTTGTAAGTAACCAAAAAGGTAGTTCTGTAGCTTGGAATTTGGATTTGGAAAGGATGCATCATTAAAGGAACTTTTGCTCAATTGAACTTATAGGAAAGATAGATGTGTGTTTTTTAAGATAAAAAACATAAATGTCGTGTAACTCACAATTTTCTGCTTTATTATCATTCCTATGTGATGAAGTTTGTTGCTTCATGTAAGATGGTAGTTTGGTATTTGACTTCTTATTACAAATGGATTCATCAAAGCAAAGTCTCCTGGAGTTTGCTTAGAGATAAGGGGGCCACTGCAGGAAACCAGGGATGGTCAAGAGAGCATGAAGTTAGTGAAGTGGGCATTTGAAAGTCTCTTTGGGTCAAATCAGTTTTAGGCTGCCATTTCAGCATTGTATTTTCATGTTGAATCCTACCTTAGAAAGATCATTCTAGCATCTTTTAGGTTTGCCTCTTTTAAATAGGCCACTTATATAAAAATTATACATTTTTGTCATGGGAAATGCTGTCATTAATATGTAAACTTATCCAGATTTCCCAAAGCTTAGGAAGAGGATTTTGGTTCTTACTTAGATCAATTTTTCAGGAAGATAAAGGTATGCCTTGTTAGGTTTAGTGTAATGTTTTGTTTTGTTTGTATAAATTATAAAGAGTATACCTCCCTATACATAAGAATATAATAAAGGAATAAAAAGCTAACAATATAATTAGAATGAGTGATTGAGGTAAACCATAGTCCATGGAGGGAGTTTGAAACTTGAACTAATGCTGCCGTAAAGTGCCATATGATGTAAGCTAAGTAATATCCAAAATGTATTGGCCCAGAAATATTTCCCAGAGGCACCACAATCAGCCAAACCCAATCCTGTAATAGGAAACGCAGAGGACATCAGGTATTCAGGTACTTACCTAATTACAGGGCAAACCTCTGTTTCGCCACCAACCTGAATCCTCACATTTTGCTTGCATGAACCCCTTCACCTATATGATTTTCTGAATTCACCAAACAAGTTGCTGTCAGTTGTAGCAAAACTCAACCTAAAAAGCCACCATTACTATGCATACTTTAAGACATGGAATTGTAGTCACAAAAGATCAGAGGATGCATGATTTTGATATTTTCCTAGAAAATCATCACTAACATCATAAACAGGGTGCATTGCATGCACATAAGGTTGCAAATGGCAGAATGAAGGTAGAGAGGTTTAAGCATAGATTCACTGTTCAATTTCCAAAGAAGAATTGCTTTGAGTTCCAGTCTCATGTATTTGTTTTGCTGATGATTGTTTCAGGTTCCACATCTTGCTGGAGAACTGATGCCCATTTGTGAGGTTTTTGGATCTTATTCTCCAAAAATATCATGGACTCTTTCGACAGGAGAGGAAATAAATTCTCATGCAGTGTTCTCTAATGCATTTACTCTTCTTTTGAAACTGTGGTGTTTTGATCATACGCCTATTGAGCAAGCCTTGGGTGATGTGCCATCAGTGGCATCCCAGCTAAGTCCAGAGTACCTTCTCCTGGTGAGGAACTCCCAGCTAGCATCATGTGGCAGTGCAGCAAAAGATCAGAGTAGATACCAGAGAATTTCCAAGTTGATAACTCTACCCTCCACTGAACCCATATTTATGGATTCTTTTCCTAAATTAAAATGTTGGTATAGACAGCATCAAGCTTGCATTGCCTCCCCACTTTCTGGTCTTACGCCAGGCACCCCCGTTCATCAAATTGTTGAGGCTCTTTTAACTATGCTCTTTAAGAAAATGAATAGAGGTACAGCTTCTGGAAGTAGCAGTTCGTCTGGTTCATCTATGGAAGAGGCTGTACTACGGCTGCAACTACCTGCATGGGATATTTTAGAAGCTCTTCCCTTTGTTCTAGATGCGGCTTTAACAGCATGTGCTTATGATAAGTTGTCTCCACGTGACCTAGCCACAGGTTGGTATGCAATCCCTGGTAGTTTTATGTGCCTAAAATTTGTATTTTATGTAATTTGACTCTGAAGTAGAACAAGCAAAATGGAAAAAAAAAAAAAAATATCACGGATGCAGCATGATTATGTTATTCAGCTAATGAAATAGTACCCCACTACCCACTAACAATAATAGAATATATCCCTTAATCAACAATTACACATTAAAATAAGATGTCGGATAAATTAGCTTAAAACATTGTGTTGGTCAAAGTTTGTCAACTAAATAGGGACTGAGCCACAGAGGGATTTAATTTTTGAGATTTACATGTTGAATTAAGTAGTAAAGTACTTATTTCTTGAACTCTAAGGTGTATGAAAGATTCATATTATATTCATACATTTCTATATTGTTCTAGACTTCTAGGCATACCTACAACACTAAAAGTCTAAAACACTTCTATGTAGCACTGTGGCTGTGATTTATCAACTATAGCTAGCTGTTTCTCCTCGTTAGTGCAATCAAGTGAGGAAATAAAATCAATGCTTTGTTATACACTGCTATACCAATAAGAAAGCCCCTTGCCACGTGTTCTCTTCTTTGGTTGTGGGAATGCAGTTTATCTGCTAAGTTAATGTTTTTTCCTCCTTTTTATGACCTTTCTCTGCTCCCTTGACGCGGAGAGCCAATTTTGAATATGGAATGGATGTAACAGAAAAGATATGTTGAAACAGAGCACAATGTTTCATAACAATGAGACCAGAAGGATGTGGTTTTCGCTGAGATGTGTTATAACAAGTTTCTTGCAGAGAAAAATATCAAATCCGTTTGTGATATTGAAACAAACATGTTTTAATTTCTTAAAGGAGATTGATGGAAAGGGGAATACTGTTGTGGGTGGTGGAGTGATATGAAGGATGGGGGGCAGTGGATTAAATATAAGATAATGGTTTAAGTTTGGAAGGAGGGATGAAAAAGCATCATTTACTTGCTGCATTTGGCTTCTCCTATTCAATTCCTTCCCTGCTTTTTGCTGAATTTAGCACTTGGTTGGGGTCTTGGAAAAATGTGGCTTAGTGAAAAGAGTAGAGAAAGATTGTGGAGGCCTTGTTATAAAAATAAGGAAATGGGACAATCTTGTTGGGACAAAACTACGAAGTAAATTGGGCCAATCTTTTTGGGATGGACAGATTAATGTCCCACCATAAGTTGTGTCTTAAGCTAGTTATCATCATGAGTCTAAGCTAGTGCCTTGAGGTTTCTCAGCTTCTCAACCTTATTTTGAGTTGCACACTTGCACTTTACCTCAACTGTGTTATGATCAGTAGTCAGCACTCAGATGGTGAGACTCAGCTTGCGAATGCTTGTTTCTGTTTGTGTCATTCATTTTATATAATTAGCTATTTTTAGTTCACTTCGGGTGAAATTGGTCTGATGCCAGATTTCGTGGATATATATTTTCAGATAGTCAAACACTAAAACCTTTTCTCATCTGAAAACTGTTGAAGGAAATATGCCTTCTAAAGGTTTCTGATTTAAGAAAATTGTAGAAGGTTTAGACGTTTGTAGGTGTCTGAATATTAGCAATGGATCATTACAGCTGACAGTGTACAGCAGTAAAAGGCTGCAATAGATATCTCTCAGCAGCAGAAGTTGGAAAAACCTGTGATGGCAATCATGGCATACCTTATCACAGAAGATGAGTTTTATTGAAATAACATGGCCATTAATTAATTTCCTATATTTGGCTCTGTGGGCTGCCTATTGTCGACATAGTTTCCTATCTTAAACATTATTGTTTTTAATTGGTGTCTATGCTGTCATTTTTGGTTTGGTATTGCATGCTTTTAAATCCAGTCTTTGAATTTTGGTATATTTGAGGATTTTAACATTTAAATGTTATGGCTACTGAAGAAGCTAATTTTGGATTATAGGGCTCAAGGATCTTGCTGACTTTCTTCCAGCGTCTTTGGCAAGCATATTGAGCTACTTCACAGCCGAAGTAACTAGGGGAGTCTGGAAGCCAGTTTCTATGAATGGAACTGATTGGCCAAGTCCTGCGGCTAATTTATCCATGGTTGAACAACAAATACATAAAGTTTTGGCTACCACCGGCATTGATGTTCCCAGTCTTGCTACAGGTATCATTTCTTGAATCTCCCAAGTTGCTCTGGTGAACTTAGTTTCTGTGTCCATGATAAAGACTAGGAGTAATATATTTGCTTGCTTCTCATTCTTTGTTATTAGTACTACCTTTCTTTGTTTTTTTTAGCCACCCTCCAGGCGTTCCACAATCCTATGACTTAAAATTAGTAGAACTGTCTATGAAGTATGAATAATGAGTGGTGTGAATGTGTGATTATGCTGCCTGATACCTTGTTTTTCTTGTCTTTCTCCATTTAAAGACAATCTCATAGCTCATACCTTGTTTTTCTTGACTTACTGACAGTCTTGAGTGGAGTTGACACCATAGAGACTTTGAGTACTTAGACGGATTTCTTCTTAAAAATCAACACATTTTGTAAATAAGTATAGCATGAAGGTAATTTGATGATCTAACTGCTGCTTTTCTAGTTAGGAAATAGTCAGGACAGTTCTTTTTGTGAAATGTTGGCACTTGCATAGATTTCCAAGTAGAATAGATCTTAGCCTAGGGACCTGGGTTTGAGAAATCTTTTTAGTGTTTGGTCACCCACCTTAATTTCTTAGCAAAATTTTCTAGAACCCAGTTCCTTACTTCTGTCTTATTTGCCAATGTGGTACAATATAGGAATTTGGATGGACTCTATGTTGTCATTTTCTTGGTGTGTTGCAAAATGGCAGATTAAGTTTGAGCCTCTGAGGATAATATAAAAAATTTATAAGGTTGTTTCTTGCAAAAAAGTAATATGTAGAAGGTATATTATATCAAATTTTCCTAATTATTCCGAGTAAAGGAAACTAAGGAAGTACTCCCTTATTCATATGCTCAACCTATTAGGAATTGGGAGGAATCATTTAAAAGCTTTAAAAGAGGACGAAATTCCCTATATCATTATAATAAACAAAACAAAGTGATTCCACTTAAAAAACCTAGATGATAAAATTTGCAGCAAAAACACTTTGGGATAGTGGAAACCTGTGCATTTAATACGCTTTGGGATTGTGGAAAAAATAAATAATTGTGCATTTAGTACATAAATAACTGGAATTTGAAAATAAATTAGGGTTATTTGTAAAATGTCGTCATTATATATATATATATATATATATATATATATATATATGACGACATTCTTCCCTTTCTTTCACCTATCCCTAAATTTCCTAGTTATTACTAATGAATCTGCTCTTCTTTAACTGCTCAGATACTTTTCACTGGAAACCATTATTTGGTTGCCCCTCTAGATTCTAATTTACGCACTCTGCTTATTTTGACCATTTATTTTCAGTAAAATTAGAAATTTAAAACATATGTGGTATTGTTTAAAGAATGTGATGGCTCCTTTTAATTTTCCTTGATTTGTGTTGCTTGTGCAGTGGGTAACTCTATTCCTACACTTCCTCTACCATTAGCTGCATTGCTGAGCCTCACCATAACTTACAAAATTGATAAAGCCAATGAACGTTATTTGAACTTGGTTGGTAGGGGAGTGGTCGTACTTGCAGCTTGCTGTCCTTGGCCTTGCATGCCTATTGTAGCAGCTCTCTGGGCTCAAAAGGCCAAGCGCTGGAGTGACTTCCTTATCCATTCTGCCTCACGCGCTGTCTTCAACCTCAACAATGATGCTGTGGTACAGCTTCTGAGAAGCTGTTTTTCTTCGGTCTTGGGGTTTAATGCATCCCCTAGATGTCGAAATGGAGGTGTGGGTGCTCTCCTTGGACATGGATTTGGTTCCGGTTATTCCAATGGGATGTCCCCTGTTGCTCCTGGTATCTTTTACCTACGCGTGTCTCCATTCATCAGGAACATCACTTTTGTGGCAGAAGAAATTGTCTCTCTTCTGATGATGTCAGTGAAAGGTATTGCGACTGGTGGTTTATCCAATGAGACTATAGGAAAATTAAAGAAATGCAAATTTGGAATGAGATACAGACAAGTTTCTCTCACTTCTGCTATGTCACGTGTCAAGCTTGCTGCTTCAGTTGGGGCTTCCTTTGTCTGGATATCTGGGGGAATAAATCTACTGCAAACTTTGCTTAAAGAAATGTTACCCTCATGGTTTATATCAACCCAGAGGACAGTTGACATTGGAGAATCAGGGAGTGTTGTTGCAACATTAAGTGGTTATGCACTGGCTTACTTTGCAGTTCTTTGTGGGCTATTTGCCTGGGGCGTTGATGCAGCATCATCAGCCTCAAAATTGAGATCCAAGGTCCTTGCTTCCCACCTTGAATTTATGGCTACTGCTCTTGAAGGAAAGATTTCCCTTGGATGTGAATTGGCCACTTGGAGGGCTTATGTGTCAGGATTTTTGGGTTTGTTGGTGAGGTGCATCCCTGCATGGTTGCAAGAAATTGACGTGCATATTTTGAAGAGCTTGAGCAAGGGTTTGAGGCTGTGGAATGAAGAAGAATTGGCTGTCGCTTTGGTGGGTGTTAGTGGTATAAATGCAATGGGTGCTGCTGCTGAGATGATCATTGAAAGTGCCTGATAAGTTTCACATAGTTTCTATTCAGAACTAATTTCTGGTCTCAAATAGCTGTGTACAACTTAGCTTCATCATTCAGAAGCATTATCTTCGATCTCGCTTGATGTATACCTGCTAGCCATTTAACTCATTTTCCTTAAATATTTTTCCCCTGAAAAGTGTAAAGTTGTAGCCCTTGTAGGAAGTGAAAGAAAGTAAGGGCAACTGAATATATTAGCTTATTTACTGATAATGTAGGCATTTTCTGATCAGTTGAGTAAATAAATACAGGAAAAATGTGCACAAAATGAACGCTTGTAATATTAACCTTGCAGCCAAATGCAAGCTAAGATGTAGTACTTGAAGTTATTCACAGTTCTAACTCTGTACAGGTGCTACGAGCAAACACTCTTCAAGATCCCGTCAGACCGTCATGTTAATCAGATGCTTCTTTGCCTATAAATATTCTAACTGTTGATATCAATATCTCACCTTTTTTAAGAATACAATCATAAGCTTGCAAACAATATAAAAATAGTTAAGTCTAATAGCCAAATTTTCATTTGATGTATTAATTTTGCGACATACTTTTAAATAGATCCGATGCACAATAAAATGATGTATATCCGTTATATACTCTAAAATGAGTAAAAGTTACTAAAATGAATAAAAGTTACCGTGATATAAATAAAAGTTACGAAAAAAAAATTGTAAAAGTGACCCCCGATGTACAGTAAATTATTGTACACAGGATATTTACAAAAGTTTAGATATTTCTGCATTTGACTTAGTTTTGTGATGAAGATGGATAAAAAATTAGGAAATAATGGTTATGGAGATTGAATGGTAATCCCGCGCGTGAAGCGAAGATTGAGTGGAAGATGAGAGGAAAAGGTCAGTAATGTAAGGTTCTATTACAATATTTTATTTATTTACGGATAATAATCATAATGTGCTATTACAAACAAAAAGTCATAATCAATTGATGAAAATAATGTCATTGTTTTTAATCGTAATTAGATGATAAATACAAAGTAAAAAAAAAAAAAACACTAATTTGAAGAATTGAAAACTCAAAAAATATAAAACAACGTACGTGACTAATAATCACTCCCTATGAAAAAAAAAACATATTTATAAATTGACATTATCTCAAGCGTGAATAGTTCCAATGTTCCTCAAGAATGTCTCTAATGTATGATATAGTAGTCGCTCATCGACCTGTTTGATGGACAATTTGTGAAAAGATTGCAGTACTTGAGTTTTGCTCATTAGACGATGATGTTGTGGCCGAAAATTGATCATCCTCTTCTAGATTTAGAGTGTTCAAGTGCATGTTTATGTTATCATTTTGGTTGTTTCTCCCGTTATTTGAAGTAGCTTTAGAAGCATCTCCACTTTCTTGAAGCTGAAGAGAAAATTCGAGATTCCATAGTAAGTCACTCATTGAAGGGCGATCAACGCCATGATCAGATAGACACTTAAAAGCTGTCTCTACAAATTTCTTTAAGCATTCGGGTTTAATAGTTCCCTTAATGTGAGGATCAATAATTTCATCTATGTTTCCTTTTTTAACCGAGCTTCGTGCCCAATCTGCCAAACTAACTTGCTCTTTTGGAAGACTTGGGTTAAGAGCAGGGCGAGCACACAAAATCTCGAAAAGCACAACCCCAAATGAGTATACATCCGATTTTTCTGTTAGTTGTTGTCGTCTAAAGTACTCTGGGTCTAAGTATCCAAAACTACCTTTCACCACTGTACTTGCATGGTTTTGGTTTGTTTCAGGGCCTGTTTTTGATAATCCAAAATCTGATATCTTGGCTACCCAGTTCTCATCTAATAGAATGTTAGTTGTCTTGACATCTCTATGAATGATGGTGTATTTTGCTCCAGTGTGAAGATAATGCAAACCTTTTGCGGCGCCTATCAACATCTCTAGTCTTTGCTTCCATGTAAGATTGATCTTATTGCCCTTGTACAAATGCTCTCTTAAAGTACCATGTGCCATGAAGTCATACACCAAAGCCATCTCTCCATCTTCTTCACAGTAGCCGATAAGAGAGACTAGATGCTTATGCCTAAGTTTCGAAAGCATCTCAATCTCTGTAACAAACTCATGAACTCCTTGCTCCGATGATGGGTTTGACTTCTTGATGGCCACTTTAAAGCTCCCATCAATCACCCCCTTGTATACCTTGCCAAAACCTCCAACCCCAATCACATGTGATTCATCAAAGTGTTTAGTCGCTTTTCTTATCTCTGCCAATGTGAAGTGACGACAATTTGCAGTTGCCTCAGTCGATAGTTGTGCACTTGCCACACTACTTCCTCCAATTGTTGACTTCATGCCTGATGTATGAGAATTACCATAAATTGGCAACCAACTAGATGTTCCTGATTTCGATCTTGGCATCTTACTCTTCTTCTTATACAACACAACTGCAAGAACTGTTGCTAACCCAAATGCAGCTGCGACTCCACTTGCCGCCCCAATGACATTGATGTTAGGCTTATCTTTCGTAAAATTTTCCCTTTTTTCTTTATCAGCCTTAACTAATGCCTCGGATGGGGATGGGTTAGGCCCGGCCAAATTCTTATTTCCATCACTTACCTTAAACATCTCTAACCCATTAAGGATTGCATCATAAAATTCCGGCTTATCTACACCATCCCTTGGATGAAGAGCTACCAAAAGTTCTTGTTGTCCTTTTCCATCTTGAACACTCACTGCATAATCTTTATATATAGGGACATCCTTCGATCCGGTCCACGCTATCACATCAGCACCACTAGGTGTTGCTGTTTGGTTATAAATGAATATATTGAACAACCTTTGATTTACCTTGGTATATATGTGCTCGCAAAAGTGTAATCTTATGATGTATGTGAAGGTTGGATCAACGGAAAATGACCATGTTAAATTATAATTCAGAGTAATATTTGGGTCAGGCCCCATTGATCTCCAAGTATTATAAACATCAATTGGTGCAATATATTTTGGCATATCTTTGTAGTGCACTCCTTTCGTGTTATTGTCCGAGGATGTAACACCAGCAGCAGCCCCTAATATATAAGGCGTGTCGTCGTACCATGTCCTTAGTAAACCAGAATCGTTGGTGGGAGGAATATAGTTTCCACCTACATTTAACCTTGCTATCGTCTCGGTTGTTGCAGTCTTTCCATCTAAGGATTGGTCAGAGAAACCCAACAAATTAGCCGAATCCAATAAATTTGGGGTGGGAACCAACTCTATGCCATTTATAAATGCAAATGATCCTGCGTGCTTGTTCGACGGCTTGAATACCAGCACTAAAGAATCAACCCTATCCAAAGGAGCAAGAGAATACTCCTTTATTATATAAGCTTGAGTTAAAGCCTCCGCGGTTACAGCAGCGCTAAAATTGTTTAAAAGGGTAAAATCGGCCGCAATTACGGAAAAATATGAGTTGCTAATATTGAAAGAGCTATAAGATGTTGGGTAAAAATGAAGGCGTAAAAAATATCTCGAGGTTGAATTGATAGGAAACTTATATGACATATCAGAGTTGCTTACCCGAGCTGTCATATATGGAATCTCAGATGGAAGAGAAGGATCTTGAAAAGATGCTTTAATCGTTTGAGAATTTCCTTGAGAAGAAAGATACTTTGTATCTACATCCCAATTCCTTCCATCCCCATCTTTCCCTTGACTAGTTGCTCCACAATCAATGGCAATCGACGTGTTCGTGTCATCGGAAAATGATGGGTTGGTGATGCTTAAGAGGAGGAGAACATCAATGATGATGAAAAACTTTAAGTGGCAACCAAAATGCATGGTTGCACACCTTGATTGAGGAAGAAATATTAAAAAAATAGGGCGTACAGGAAAATTTATTAGCTAATCAATATTTTTTTTTTATTTTTTTTTTTTTTTTTTTTTTTTTTTTTTATGATTTTGATTTTTCCTGTACGCCAAAGAAGGAAATCTAAATTGTGACTTTTATTTTTCTTTATTAATGAAGGGATAGTAAAATTAATGATTTTAATTTTCTTCTCATTTTCTTTCTACTATTTCTCCCTCGCTAACCTAGTATAGCAAATATCTCACTAAGAAAATTGAGAAAAAAGATTTTGAGTTGGCTCCAATGATTTTTGCTGATAAAAAGGTGATATATTATCATTTTGCCTATCTTTGGACATTTTTATTATTTGTTAATTTCTTTTGTTGGTTAAATATGAAAGGAAAAGAGAGTTTTAAGGAGGAATTTTCTTTTAAAATGTATGTTGGCAATAATTTCTTTTATTTAGAAATCAATATTATATGAATGAACCTTTTTTTTTCTTGGAAAAATTAATGAACCTTGAGTCATTGATTATATTTTATGGGTTGAAAACTGATTTTGATTTAATTCATAATAAACTTCCTATACAAAGTAATCTACTCAACATGTAGTTTGTAAAGTTTGACATGTGATAAGAAATTAAAAAATGAATTTAAATTTCAATACTAGGTTAAGAACTTTATTATCAAATGTGATTCATCCCAACGATTATATATTCCATTTCTCTCTACTAGGGAAGTGTTTTATATATGTTATTATTGATATTATAGTATAGTGTATATATGAACTAAATTTGTGGACTAATTACATTTGATATTTGTTTATTCTTGTTTTTAGTTAATTGATAAGATTATTTCTTACCCTTTATTTTCCTTAGACTACTACTAGGCACTAATCCACTCTTTTACGTGGATATAATTTAAGTTGTTACACTTAACCTTTTTTTTTTTTTTTTTTTTTTTTTTTTTTTTTTTTTTTTTTTTTTTTTTTTTTTTTTTTTTTTTTGAAAGAACACATATAACTTTTTAAAAGACCGTTTATTAATATTATATTTAAAACTTTTTTGTTTATGATTTTTTAAGGAATTCATGAATATAACACATTAATAATCTTTAAATAGTAGCATTTACAACAAACTATCAAATGTTTTTTCAATAATTTTTGTTCATTTTATTTTAAAAATATATCAAAAAAGAAAGTACAAGTAAATTAAATTGTATTAAAGAGATGTTAGTTGAGACGAACACTACAAGAGGGGGGGTGAATTGTAGTGAGTTCCTAATGCCTACTTTTTGCATAATATAAAATAGAAATGTAAAAGGAACTTGCACAACACACAGTATTTTACGAGGAAACCTTCCAGGGCCCAAGTGGAAGTAAAACCTTGACCCTTGTAAGGGATTTCAAATTCCAAAACACTTCACTATAATAGGGGAAATTCTAATGTTACAACCTATATTATAATCTGACTTAATCTCACATGTTCCAGAATGAACTTGCTACAAAGTAGAACTATATTCTACCTAACCTAAGACCCTGACTTAGATTATCTTTGTACTTCCCGAGTACTTGCTCACTCAGCTTCACAATAGAAGCCTACAATACTAAATGCATAAACGGTTCACTCACCCAACCCAAAATAATATAAACACTTGACTTCTAATATGTGATAGGAAAGTTACATATGGGAATCGAAACTAATATGACAAAGTTAAACTTGACAAACTTACAGTCCTGCCGCCTATCCTAGGCGCAAGAGTAAATATTGGACCGCGACCTGTTTACAGTGGCCGTTCGGACCAATGAATGGACGGGGGAGAAAGAGGTCACTCCCCAAAGCTACATTCCCCATCATGAGTAGCTAGCCAACGAAACATATTTGCTTGCTGTCTTAGTTCAGAGAGGCCGAGAGGTAGTAGGCCATTTGGTTTTTATTACTTTGTTTGAACTTGATTGTACTTTCTTGTTTCTAACTCTTGTTCTCTTGGTGTAGATATTTCCATGGAAAAACTCTAGGCCACCAAGAAGTCGGCTGCACACTTTGCAACTTATTATCGTTCGTCCATCTTGGGCAAACGGACCAACGAGAAGCAGCCGTCAGGCGGGGCTCCCAAGGTGAGGAACTTTCCTACTAAACTTGAATTGAGATTTCTTGATACGACAAGCCTACCAACTGGCGTATTCTGTGTAGAGCGGATCATTCAAAACCTCTCCCTCCAAACAGCCGGACCCGAAGCTTCAAAAGAAGTCGGGTGGTGATGTGGGCGTTTCTGGCAAGTTTAGAAAGCACATTGCCCATAAGCCTAGGAAGGCACATGACGACCCCACCCCCAACAAGATACCCCTAAAGCCGAATGCCCAAAGGGTATCGAAGAGTGGCAAGCCACTGGAAACTGTTGTTGGCTCAGCAGAAGGTGGAAACAAGGCTGCCAAAGAGGAGGAGGCGGAAGGTATATTCACTGTAACCTTTTACCCTAAGTTGTTGGGTAGAGTAAACAGGCACCTAGTATCTCAAAGGGCACCAGACCAAGCAACTGATTGTGCAGAGATCCCCTAGAGGCCGATTGTCCTTAAGATGACCAAGCAAATGCCGAGGGCGCTTGATCCTAAGGATAAGGCGTCCGTAAGAGGAGTTTGCACCCTTAACCTCGACGCCATCTTGGTGCTTCTACGTGAGGTAAGATATTTGTGATATTTTATTTGTGATATTTCATCTCAAGTGATGCATATGGCTACTTTATACCGACCATTCTCAATGTTGGCCGAATGCAGGCTATGTTGTGCGTAAATGGGCTTAAAAAGCCAAGTAACGATAAGTCCAAAGAAGTAACAGCTGCTAAAGCTCGAGCCTCCTCCTCATTAGACACTGCTCAGTTTGAGATTGCCCAAAATGAACTACTGACACTTGATATGATGTATTCCTAGACGACTGCAAATCTGCATTTCAAGCAAGACTTGGATGCGATGAGGGGGCGGATAAGCGAGCTCTAAAATGACGTCAAGGCCCTCAAGGCTAAGCTGGAGCCCCTCAAGGAGGTAGACAAGAAGGCGGGCCACCTGCAGGGGCAGGTTGATAAACTCAAGGGCCGGCTGCAGAACAAAGAGACCCAGCTCTGGTATAAATACAAGTCCTAGGCTTAGGAAGAGAAAAAGACCCTAGTTAAACAAATGATGGAGGACTATGACTCCATCATGTGGATGGCATGAGAATCATTGCGGCCGGACTCTGACTACCTAACATGGAAAGATAAGTTTTACGTAGCCAATGATGAGTTCAACGCCTAGCTTATGAAGCAGGCGGAGGAGGAGGCGGCCAAATGCACTGGTGTATCCGACTCCTCGGACGAGTCGTCCTCGGGGATGGTAATGATCATGATATGTATATTTTATATAGTGTTTTACCCCGTACATTGGTCATAATTAGTAGTGTTTTGGCTCTTTAAAGCCACTTTTATTACTAATTTGTGTCTTATAGTGTTTTCGTAGTTCTGGTTGAGTGTTGTAGGGAATCGCACATTTGGAGCATTTTCTTGGGATTATTTAGAGCGACTACGAGCATTGGAGAAGCATGATCACTTTTCGTAGCCCAAGGCCAGTTAGAGTCATCAAACCGGTGATTAAGGGCTCGACATATGAGATACCGTGGCAATTGGATTGAGTATTAAAGCCCTAAGGAGGAAATTTAGTCTAGGCCGAAGTTAATAGCCCAAACAAGAAGTCTAAGATGTCCAAGAGCTTCGCCCATCCGGGCATTGCCTCGCCCAAAGGCGCGCCCGGCCGGGCGGGGCGAAAGAAGAATCAGGGCATAGCTCCACCCGAGCTTGCGCCCAACCGGGCGCGAGAGAAGGTTTAAAGACGAAAAGGCGGGCCCGGTTGGGCGGTGCCTCGCCCGACCCGACGCGTGTCTTGGAGGAGTGTTTTTTGACGATTTTAGTTAGCTTCTAATTAGGATTTTTAGAGGCTTTATATAAATACGTTTTAGTGTTTTTGATGCAACTTATCTCTTCTCCTAGCTTTTCTCTGTCTACTTAGTTTTAGAGTAAAATGCTCTTTTATTTTTCTCTCTCAACAACTTTACAACTCTTGGTTTAATTTAGTTCATTATTACGGTTAACTTTGGTAACTATTTCTTCCTTAATTTATTTCAGTAATTTAAATTCTTTAATTCATCATGTCTTGTTTATTTGCTTTGATTAGTTTAGATTTAATTATGTGTGAGTAGTTTTCTTTCCACGGTTTGTGGACATCCATAAATAATATGAAGGGGTAAATTATTATTGTTGATTGTCAATTCTTGATTAATTTCTTATTGATTGATTTAATCCTATGCCATTAGAGTTGGCCAGATTTAATTTGCATGAGTTTAGCAATATTGATTCGAGAGATGAGAATTGATGTTTAGGCTTAGTTTCAGTAGGCAGACTAATTTATAAATGGTTAAGTCGAGTTTCGAGAGATGAGATTTAATACCGGTGAATTAACTTTGCCCAAGAGGCAGATTGTAATACCCCATATTTTTAATATTTATTTAATTATAAAATATATGTATTTTTATATATTATTTATTTTATTATAAAATATATATTGGGTCAATAACTATTTAATCCAATTGTATCCCATCTTTATAACAAACTGAATCATCCTATTTTTATAATTTGGGCCAACTATTTTATTATTCAACTCCATAATTTTTATAAAGCCAAAATCTACCCAAACCTAATCTACACTATAAATACTCTTCTAATCCCAAAAATTTTCCACCCAAAAAGCCAAAGAGGTAAATCTATTTTCTTTTTCATTTTTTTCTTCCCTTTTCTCTTTTTCTTTTCTTTCTTTTCTTTTATTTCTTTTTTCCCTTTCTTTTCCTTTCCTTTTTGTTTTCACGCAGGAACCCCAAGCCAGCCGTGATGTGGGTTCGTTGCCACCGACTCACTGTTGTCCAGCCGGAACTCCGGCGCCGCCCTCCGGCCGCCAATGCACCACCAGCCAACCCTCACCGCGATATTCTTGTTCTTCTCTCCCTTCCTCTTTTTTTTTTTTTTACATAGTGAGACTTGATTCGGGGAATGTTGTAGGGTAATCGGCTATTTTAATAGCTTAATTAAGGTACGTTTGTGTACTTAGCATAACTATGTTAATATAATAGCATGTAAAATGTGTTTGATTGATTACAAGTAGTATCATGCTAGATTTGGATTGGAAATTATGATTTGGATGTTATTGGTGATTGTATTATAAAGCATGATTTATTTGTGATGGATTATTGAATGGAAAATAATAGTTTGGAATATTATTTATCACTAGTAGAAAAATACAAATAGGCACCCCCCTAATGGCACCGGTTTAGGCCAAACCGGTGCCAAAAACCGGCCTAAAAATGAGCAAGTTTTTGAACAAAGAGAAATGGCACCGGTTCAGCTCAAACCGGTGCCAAAAATAAAAAGGGCACCGGTTTGAACCGGTGCCTAACCAAACCGGTGCCTAACTGAACCGGTTTTTAATTATTAAAAAAAAAAACCCGCCCATTTATATACCCCAAACCCTAAATAATGACCC